TTTGTGTCTGTGTCATGTGACTCATCAAGTCTCGTGTTTCGCTGCAGATACACACACACACACACACACACACACACACATTATACAGTCGTCTATAGGTGTAGTTTTAGCATGTTTATGTGTGTGTACTGAAGCATTCCTAAGGGGGTCAGACTGACCCGACAGCGAAGCATTTGTTACTTTGTTCAATTTCAACCACAAAACTCCTCGAATCATTGTGTCTCTCTGATCATGTGACTCTTCCTCCCTCTGATCATGTGACGCGTGTCGCTGCAGAACTCGACCACACAGAAGTTTCATCTGAGCGCCGTCAACTTCTCCGCCTTCTGGTCTGACATGACGGGTGAGTGAGTTCAGGACTCTAGACTCACACACACACACACACACACACGACCCCTGAACCATAGCTGTCAACATTGAACATTGAAAATAAGGGAGATTTCCCGGAATCCATCGCCAAAATAAGGGATTTTCTTTTTTTACATTATTAAGAGCATAAGTACGGAGGCGTATTGCATTCACTTGAAGAAAAAAAATCGAGTTAATTTAGAAAAACAGCAAAAATAAATTTTCTAATGAAAAATTAACTCATTAATTCAGAAAAACAGAGCAAAAACTTTTTTTTTCTCATGAAAAATTAACTCGTTAATTCAGAAAAACAGAGTAGATTTTTTTTCTTCATGTGAATGCAATACGCCTCCGTACATAAGAAACAAATGAAAAAAAAAAGATATTTTATTCCTAAGTTATGCTATGACCTCTGTAGTGGACACCAGGACTCGATTGTTTAAAAAAATGACATGAAAATATATATATAGGCAAAAATAATGGAAATTTTTGACATATAAACATCTTTTTTTTTTTTTTTTTGCCTGGAAACGCTTCCAACACGCATGCGTGTCGCGTGAAAAATAGCCATCTCTGGTTCTATTTGTAGCATGCACGCGTTTGCGCGCGTCACGCTGGCAGTGTACAAGCTCTAATCTGTTAACATGGGAGCCGAAATAAAACTATAGACAGTAAAATAAAAAAATTATTTAAATTTATAATCAACCAACAATTCTGGCCTTTACAAATTCGCTATCCATGTTCTCATGAGTGACCAGTCGAGGAGGAGACCGGGGTGTGTGTGTGTGTGTGTATTCGCTCTTAAAGTGGCGGCAGCCTAATATTCCTGCGGTGTCAAAACACCACAACACAGCTTTAACAGATCAAACTATATTTAATTTCCACAGTGAACAGGGTGTTATTTTACATTTAGGCCTCATTATTAATGTCTGTACCTGAATACTAATATTAGACTTTAGTGTTCATGTGTGTATTTGTTCTTAATGTATGACTGAGGGTTAGCGGACCCGTCTGTGGTGTCTGTGATTGGCTGATGACGTGTGATGTTGTTCTGCTGGTTTGACAGATCGGTTCGAGGCGAGTAACGCCTCTCTGGAGCTGCTGCAGTGCAGCGTGGGCCGCTCGTACATGTGCAGCGCTGAGCAGACGCTCGCTGTGGCTCCCGACTTCTCCATCAACACCTTCAGTCTGCAGCTCCAGCCCTTCAACGTCACCGAGAGCCGCTTCTCTGCAGGTACTGACCGGGTCATGTGATGCGCTGTGACCCGTGTCCCCGAGGGTCAGCATGACCCAAGCCCTGATGTACTACATATATCATACATATTTTGATAATATACAGTGTATTTTTTTTTTTCGGAGGTTTTTCTTTTTTCATAATAAAATCTAGTAATTTAAGCAGATTCTTTCAACTTTAATTCAAAATAACTCATAATTTCATGCGTAACTCTTTTAAATATCTTCCATCGGGAGTCTGTGAGCTCTTGTGGAAACACCACTGACCAATCACAACCAAGTATTCCAGCGCAATGACTCCATTCGTTGTGTGTGTGTGTGTGTGTGTGTGTGCAGCGGAGGAGTGTCGTCTGGATCAGGAGAACATGCTGATCCCCATCATCGTTGGAGCGGCTCTGGCCGGGCTGGTGCTGATCGTCCTCATCGCGTATCTGATCGGGAGGAAGAGGACACACGCCGGGTACCAGACCATCTGATCTTCATCATCATCATCATCCACCGTCTGGGCTGCGATTGGCTGCAGCTGGACTGAGAGAGGGAGTGTGTGTGTGAGCGAGAGCTGGTTCTTCCTTGCTGTGAGGTCAGAGGTCAGGGGACACTGGTGTGTGTGTGTGTGTGTGCGACTGTCGTTTTCTGTTGTTCAGTTTGTTCCTCTAAAGTGTGTAAAAATGATTGCTTTAGGTCAGAGGTCACGAGTGTGATCAGGTGAGCAACCTTCACTCGTCCTCTTTAGAAAAATCATTCATTTTATTATTATGTTTTTAATCTAAAATGTTTCGGCAACACTCAAACGTCTCGTTTGTGAACATTAACAACGAGAGATGTATTTCACAGCAGTTATGAATCGTGTTTAATGTTTGGGTTAATGTATCTTTTCTTTTGTTTGTTTGTAGTTATTTTAATTGGCTTCATGTAAAAATAATTGCATTTATGTGTGTGTGTGTGTGTGTGTGTGTGTGTGTGTGTGTGTGTGTGCTCATCCAGCTGTCACTGTCTCATGGGTAAACATACTGAACCATTTTATTGCAAAAAAAGAGGATAGAAAGTGTGTGTGTGTGTGTGAGAGAGAGAGAGAGAGAGAAAATGAGTGAGTGTGTGTGTCTGAGAGAGAGAGAGAAAATTAGTGTGTGTGTGTGAGAGAGAGAGAGAGAGAGAAAATGAGTGTGTGTGTGTGTGTGAGAGAGAGACACAGAGAGAGAAAATGAGTGTGTGTGAGAGAGAGAGAGAGAAAATGAGTGTGTGTGTGTGTGTGAGAGAGAGACACAGAGAGAGAAAATGAGTGTGTGTGAGAGAGAGAGAGAGAAAATGAGTGTGTGTGTGTGTGTGTGTGTGAGAGAGAGAGAGAGAAAATGAGTGAGTGTGTGTGACAGAAACATAAATTATTAATATCAGGTGGCATTAAATGCCTGTTTTAGTTCTATAGAAACATGAAACCTGTATCGAGCCGCTGGTGAATTACCCATGATCCCCCACACACACACACACACGATCAGCAGCTGTCAGTGTCGCTGATGATGATGACGAGGGTCAGTTTGTTGCTGGAGTGAAAAGGGAAACTGAGTGTGTGTGAGTGTGTGTTGTGCTTTTCTGGGACGTTTATAAGAAACTCTTCGCTGTGTTTAAAGTGCACGTCGTCTTCATCATCATCATCATCATCATCATCATCATCAGCATGACAGAGATCCTGATGATGATGATGAAGCACACGATCATGTTTCACGGGTTTGATCTGCTCTGGAGTTCTTTATCATGGTGAGCATGACGTGTCATTGGGTCATGTGACTCCAGTGCTGTGTTTGCTGGTTTCTTTTGTAGCGGATGTTTTATTATTTTTATGCTTCGGGGTTTGAAGTTAATAAATGAATAATGACTTGCACTCTGTGTCTGTGTTTAATAATAACAGTGATGACTCCCACAATGCAACAGTGTGTGTTAGAGTCCACATCAAAATATGGTTCCGAGTTAATGTAAGGCTAATGCTTCAGATGTTTTAAACTGAGAGGCTTCTTCTTCGTCTGCAGTGCGAGTCTATGAGCCGGAAGTGGAAACTAGGATTAACTCTACAGCGCCACCACCAGTTCAAGAGTTCAAATGGTTTTACCCATGAACCCCTTGAAATCACATCAAGACTCCACCCACTACAGTAGCGGCCATTTTGAGAAGTACAGTTAGTTCATAACTCCTGCTAAAGTTGCGAGATTGACAGATGATCTGTAGAGCGATTTGAACAGAAACGACTGAACAGGTTTCGTTTATTTTCAAGAGTCGTCTGTTCGTTCGCTGTAGTCGAGGCATTTTGCTTTGAGTATTCCGAGGCCATTTTAAATTTGTCATAAAATGTTAAATCTTCTAAATGTCTGGACATATCGGCACAAAATTTGGTACGGCCCATCGACAGCGTGTCCTGAAGGCCCCCGAGGAGTTTGAACGCAGCGCCCCCTAGTGTTCCAGAGATGTTAGAAAAAAAATAATTTTGTTTTTCCACCGTTTTGATTTGAATGAAAAACGTTTTTCTTTGCCTTGAGATTAATTTCTATTTAATCTGTTTCTTAGACCCGCTGTGTAAAGAACAGACACGTTTGACTCACACACCGATGGTTTCCAGTGTTTTATTTCACAGTATTATTGGTCTTAGACTAAGAAGAGATGATAGCGGTTCAGCATTAAAGACTCGAGTCCAGCATCTGCGATTATTCTACACTCTCAGAGTTCTACAAACGTAAGAAAATACACATCTTCACGGAGTCTGTTAGCGCACGCTACTGCTAACAGTGGGAATGTGTGAGTGTGTGAGTGAGTCAGGGTTCTCCGGCTACGATCCGCGCGCGGCAGCTCTCGCGCAGCTTCGACACGCTGGACTTGGAGAGGCTCCCGGGATCCAGGAAGATCGCCTGGAAAACAGAGAACTTGTTCAGTCACATGACCTTCATCAGTACGTAAACGATCACGCGGCTGCGGACTGTAAAAATTAAGCATGGCCGCGAGTGTTTCGGTGTCCCGGAGAGATGTGTGCGGCGCGGGAGCTTCACCTGCATGAAGGCGTGGCAGTCGTGGACGAAGGCGCCGCTGGTGATGCGCTTGAAGCGCTCGCAGACGTCGGGCAGGTTCTGGGCCTGCAGGATCAGGTCCTCGTGCCGGCGGATCAGAGTCAGAGCCACGCGGAACAGGATCTTCGAGCCCTCGTAGAACAGACAGTCCCAGATCCGGAGCACCGTCTGACGGGGCAGAAGCAGAGGGTCAGTGCGGAGCCGCCGGGTCACATGATCACCGGGTCACATGATCACGCTCCCGTACCTCCACGGGCAGGACGTCGATGAACAGGCAGATGAACCAGCGCGAGACCACCAGAGACCACATGACCCCGTGATCCTGCATGAGCCGCCAGACCGCCGGGACCTTGAGCCGCACCAGCTCTCCCAGAACCTCCTGATCCGCCTTCAGACCCAGCATAGCCGGACCGTAGTAATCTGAGGGTGAGGAACACCGTCAAACACACACACACACACACACACACTCACACACACATGCACACACACACACTCACACACACGCACACACACCTCCTGATCCGCCTTCAGACCCAGCATAGCCGGACCGTAGTAATCTGAGGGTGAGGAACACCGTCAAACACACACACACACTCACACACACTCACACACACGCACACACACACACTCACACACACGCACACACACCTCCTGATCCGCCTTCAGACCCAGCATAGCCGGACCGTAGTAATCTGAGGGTGAGGAACACCGTCAAACACACACACACTCACACACACACACACTCACACACACACACGCACACACACACACTCACACACACGCACACACACCTCCTGATCCGCCTTCAGACCCAGCATAGCCGGACCGTAGTAATCTGAGGGTGAGGAACACCGTCAAACACACACACACACTCACACACACGCACACACACACGCACACACACACACGCACACACACACACACACACACACACACTCACACACACTCACACACACGCGCACACACACACACACACACACACACACACACACACACCTCCTGATCCGCCTTCAGACCCAGCATAGCCGGACCGTAGTAATCTGAGGGTGAGGAACACCGTCAAACACACACACACTCACACACACACACACTCACACACACGCACACACACCTGGCAGGATTCTGCCCAGTAGCGCCTCCATCAGCCAGAAGGACGTCTCCTCGTCTTTACTGATGATGATCAGATATCCTGCGATGAAGTTCATTCCCTGCAGGAGGACGAGTGTGAGAAACACACACACACACACACACACAACCAAATTTAATTATTTACTGAAGAGATTTTTTAAAACAAAACATTTAATTATATTACAAGTAACTAACTGAACAAAAACTAACATCACAAAGTTTTAATGTTATCAGAAATAATTAAACTTAAAAACAAAAGTTGTAATATTAAAGATAATTAAAACTGGCTTAATTATTGAACTTAAACTTAATTAAAATGCCACAAAAAAAATATTTAACTGCATTAGAAGAAATAATTAAAGCTTGAAGCTAAAAACAAAACATTTAATGTTAAAATAATTAAAATGCTAAAAGCAAAATATATGTTTAACTATATTAGAAATAAACTATTTTAAAATATATTAAAGATAATTAAAACTGAATTAAAGTGCACAATTATTTAATTATATTAGAAACAAGTCAAACTTAATGCTAAACAGACAAAAAAATGATTATATTAAAATCAATTTGTAAAATTAAAATGCTTAATGTAACGTCCAGAATCAGAGGAAGAGCTCGAACGCCCAGTGTGTGTCTGTCCTGCCTCTCCTCGGCACACACTCGTTTGCATTGGAAATATTTAGCAAACTTTGCATTGATTACACAAACTGAAGCGCCGAGACACGAGATCCACGTATCCCAGCATGCATCAGGAGAGCCGTTACAGGAGATTCACCTGAACTCAGCTTGATCATGCTGTCCGTACGCCTGTGTGTGTGTGTGTGTGTGTGTGTGTGTGTGTGTGTGAGAGAGTACCTGACAGTATCCCACAGCTTTATTATGGTGTCCGTACGCCACCAGCACGTTATACAGCGCCGACTGCAGACACGGATCCGCCGACCGACGGAAGTACACGTTATCTGGGAAGGTTCTGTGCAGATCTACACACACACACACACACACACACACACAGTCCATGCTGATGACGTTGCTGAACATGTAAAATTAGGACGGTGTCCACAACATTTCCTGTCATTAGAATGTGTGTGTGTGTGTGTGTGTCTGACCAGTGCGGATGCTCTCCTGCAGTTTGGGGTCGTGTTGTTGGTCCAGTAGTGACTGATAATACCCAGGGTTCCTCTCCATCTTCTCCCGAGCTCCACTCGACTCCATCCACACCAGCGGCCGGTGCTCGTTGGGGACGCCTTTCCGTACGAACCGCTTCACTGCGTCACACACACACACACAGAACCACCGTCAGAACACACACACACAGTTTTAGAGAGCTCTAATGATGGTGATGATGTCACACACACCCTTCAGGTTGCGGTCCACGCGCCGCTTCCCCTGCAGGAGTTTGGACCACTTGATGGACCTTCGGGTGAGGACGGCCAGATACTCGGACATCAGCTCCTCGTACGACTCGTAGTCGAAGTCATCGGAGCGCTCGAAGCCGTACGGATCCACACTGCAACACAGGCCAACACGTGATCTCATGACTCAGGTGTGTGTGCAGGTGAGGAGATCATGTGACACGTGACGCACTACCGAGGGTTAACTGGGTAAACAGAGTCGAGGGCGGACACTGAAACACAAACGAGCTTCACAATCTCAGACACACAAAGACCTGTGTAACATAGGACACTCCTGGGAAAGCTGACACCTGTGTGTGTGTGTGTGTGTGTGTGTGTATTTCACATTTAATTCTAAAATTTTAAACTGTTTATTGCTGTTTCTTTGTAATTGTTTGTGACATTTATTAGCAATGTGAAAATCATGGAAAGCCAAAATTCATGCTTTGGTAAATCTTAATAATGGCAAATAAAGTCAAATTACCCCAAACATGAATTTTCTCCTATTGGGATGGAAATGGGCTTTCATAAAAAATAGTTTCCGGACCAAATTATTTTGAGTGTCTGATAATGTAGTGTGCAGTATGCTGTATAGTATATAGTGTGCAGTGTAGTACATAGTGTGTAGTGTGCAGTGTAGTGTAGTATATAGTGTAGTATATAGAGTGTAGTGAGCAGTATAGTGTAGTATATAGTGTGTAGTGTAGTATAAAATGTGTAGTGTATATAGTGTGTAGTGAGCAGTATAGTGTAGTATATAGTGTGCAGTGAGCAGTATATAGTGTGTAGTGAGCAGTATAGTGTAGTATATAGTGTGTAGTGTATATAGTGTGTAGTGAGCAGTATAGTGTAGTATATAGTGTGTAGTGTAGTGTATGTAGTGTGTAGTGAGCAGTATAGTGTAATATATAGTGTGTAGTGAGCAGTATAGTGTAGTATATAGTGTGTAGTGTATATAGTGTGTAGTGAGCAGTATAGTGTAATATATAGTGTGTAGTGAGCAGTATAGTGTAGTATATAGTGTGTAGTGTAGTGTATATAGTGTGTAGTGTAGTGTATATAGTGTGTAGTGAGCAGTATAGTGTAATATATAGTGTGTAGTGTAGTGTATGTAGTGTGTAGTGTATATAGTGTGCAGTGAGCAGTATAGTGTAATATATAGTGTGTAGTGTAGTGTATATAGTGTGTAGTGAGCAGTATAGTGTAGTGTATAGTGTGTAGTGTAGTGTATATAGTGTGTAGTGTATATAGTGTGCAGTGAGCAGTATAGTGTAATATATAGTGTGTAGTGTAGTGTATATAGTGTGTAGTGAGCAGTATAGTGTAGTATATAGTGTGTAGTGTAGTGTATATAGTGTGTAGTGTAGTGTATATAGTGTGTAGTGAGCAGTATAGTGTAGTATATAGTGTGTAGTGTAGTGTATATAGTGTGTAGTGAGCAGTATAGTGTAATATATAGTGTGTAGTGAGCAGTATAGTGTAGTATATAGTGTGTAGTGTATATAGTGTGTAGTGAGCAGTATAGTGTAATATATAGTGTGTAGTGAGCAGTATAGTGTAGTATATAGTGTGTAGTGTAGTGTATATAGTGTGTAGTGAGCAGTATAGTGTAATATATAGTGTGTAGTGTAGTGTATATAGTGTGTAGTGTAGTGTATATAGTGTGTAGTGAGCAGTATAGTGTAGTATATAGTGTGTAGTGTAGTGTATATAGTGTGTAGTGAGCAGTATAGTGTAATATATAGTGTGTAGTGAGCAGTATAGTGTAGTATATAGTGTGTAGTGAGCAGTATAGTGTAATATATAGTGTGTAGTGAGCAGTATAGTGTAGTATATAGTGTGTAGTGTATATAGTGTGTAGTGAGCAGTATAGTGTAATATATAGTGTGTAGTGAGCAGTATAGTGTAGTATATAGTGTGTAGTGTAGTGTATATAGTGTGTAGTGTAGTGTATATAGTGTGTAGTGAGCAGTATAGTGTAATATATAGTGTGTAGTGTAGTGTATATAGTGTGTAGTGAGCAGTATAGTGTAGTATATAGTGTGTAGTGTAGTGTATGTAGTGTGTAGTGTATATAGTGTGCAGTGAGCAGTATAGTGTAATATATAGTGTGTAGTGTAGTGTATATAGTGTGTAGTGAGCAGTATAGTGTAGTATATAGTGTGTAGTGTAGTGTATATAGTGTGTAGTGTATATAGTGTGCAGTGAGCAGTATAGTGTAATATATAGTGTGTAGTGTAGTGTATGTAGTGTGTAGTGAGCAGTATAGTGTAGTGTATATAGTGTGTAGTGTATATAGTGTGCAGTGAGCAGTATAGTGTAATATATAGTGTGTAGTGTAGTGTATGTAGTGTGTAGTGAGCAGTATAGTGTAGTATATAGTGTGTAGTGTGCAGTACCTGGCCGCTCGCTCTCTGGCGCTGCTCGGCACGTTAATGCGCAGCTGCGGCTGATTGGAGCTCCGCGTCCCGTTGCGCGTCTCCATGATCAGTGATCGGTGATCCTCAGACTCAGAGCTCCGGGACACCGGGACTCCGGGACTCCATTTACAGCAGATCCGCGGCGCTCATGGACACGGCTGATTCCCTTCGCTCGAGACGCGGACGACTCTCTCCCGCTCGTCACGCAAGCCAAACTTTTCCCACGCCACAGTAATGGCTCCTTCTCTTCTCCCGCGGGATCGGATCAACCTGTCGCGTGCCGGCAATAACAGCCGCGCGGAGCAAAAACACTCCAACTTTATCAGAGCACTCTTGTAGTTGCTGTTTTAAATGCGCGTTTTTTCGCCGGGCGCGCGCATCATCCACGCCGAACACTTTGCCAAGCAACACGATTAATTTCTCCAGGGAGCTCAAGGGCGCACGTCAATCAGTCCTAGGGGCGGGACTATGCACTCAAACACCACGCCCCCGTCACGCAATCCTACTCACCCCCGTGGAGAGGGGGCGGGGCTTTCTGCGCGACGGTCACGCCTCTTCGTCACGAAATGTTTTGAAGAAAATATAGAGCGACTTAAACACTTGTGTGAGTTTATCTGTAACCAGCTAGAGGGAGAGAGCAGGGGCCTGTTTCAGAAAGGAGGTTAAGTGAAAACTCTGAGTATGTTAACCCTGAAATGAGGGAAACTCTGGGTTTTCCGTTTCAGAAAGGGGAGTATATCAAACCCGAGAAAGCAGAGTAAGTCAAGCCCGTTTCTGAAAGAGAGGTAACTTATACTCAGAGTCAGTTACCATGGTAACTTACTCTGTGAACCTAACCTGGTCGGGACCAGGTTTTCTTCAGTAAACCCAGAGTTTCTTGCGGTCTCCTCCCCTTTTTTAAAGAGGAAGTGCTGTTTAAACACCAACATTAATACTAAAATGTATTTACACATTCTTTAAGGAATATATATATATATATATTGTTTGTCCATGGTTTAATTGACTAAATCTGTTTTGCAGCACTTTGCCAAAAAATAAAAGGATTAAAACATTTGCTAAACTTTTATTTGATTACCACTGTTTTGGATAATATATTTCTATTAAATCATTGAAAAAATTGTAATAAAATTTAATTATTCATGTTATTCAAGTTATTCATGATAAAAAATAAGATGTCAATCATAATCAATTATTGAAGTTAGTTGATATTATGTTTTATTGAACAAATGCTTAATTTATTTAACTGTCATTTTAACTGATGAAAATAATAACCGTAATTTAATAATGCAGTTCATATATTTAACAATTGTTTAATACCATAAACCGCCGATATTTTCTGAGACGGTTCTCATACTGTGAAACTCTCATACGTTACAACCCCACATGGGGGAGTCCCCACCCCACCCCCGCTGTTAAACAAGTTACTCAGCAACTTTTACTCATGTTTTAAATTAACTACTTTTTACTTGAGTAGATTTTTTAGACTGGTATTTTTACTTTTACTTAAGTAAAAATGTATCAAAGTAATAGTAGGCTACTTTAGGTTGAATAACATTCTTCCAGTTTCACCTCTGATATTATAACAGTTACTCTAAAATAGTTATGAATTATTAACAACAAATGACATCTTCAACGGTGTAGTTAGATTAATGTAATAATTACTATCTCTAGAAAGTATTGGTCTACATATTACTAAATCCTATATCAACCTCAACCACTTGATTAATACAAGGAGGAGAGACAAGAAACTGCACTTTTAATGCTTTCAAATTAACAATATACAATTGCATGAATTATTCTTGAATATAATTATATAAAAATATACCTTTTAAGAATGTATGCTAAATCCACTATTGGTTTTTACTGAATTGGTCTATAGTTTATGCAGTAGCCTATTTAATGTAATTGCATCATATTTTATTTTAAATTAAAGAAGAATTAAGAGTAATCCCTTTAATTAAATTACAATATTTAGATTACTTGGTAATTAATTATACCCAACACCTCTTTTTGTCTGGCGCTGTTGCCATGGTGACTCGTAATATCTGCGCTCCATTGATAATGGCTTTTTATAGCTGTGGTGCACGCGCTTAACTCAGAGTCAGTCAACTCAGAGTTGATTGAACTAACTCATTTCAGCTGTTCTGTAACCGAAAACTCGGAGTTTCCCATCTCAGGGTAAGTCAACTCTGAGTTCAAGCTTTAACTCAGAGTTGGTTGAACCTCCTTATTGAAACGGGCCCCAGGTGACTGCCAGTTCACTGACAGAAAACACCACAGATGTATTACTGCAATCACCTTTTAATCTTTTAGACCCCAAAATATGATCATGATCACCAGATCCTTTATAAACACTGATAAATTAATATAATAAATCTAAAATTGATTTATATTAGGTTATGTCCAGTTAAATGTATTATTTATTTATTTATTTATATTATTCAAAATTATTTATATTTTTTAATTTAATTTAATCCAATATACTGTATGAATAACTAACTAATCATTTTTATTAACTTTTTTTTAATTTATTATATAATGTTATATAATTATTATATAATTTGTTATATAATGTAATTTATTAACCAACAAGTTTTACAGGTTTTGCACTCTTTAAGTCACACTTTAATCACACTGACATAAACAAGCTTTTTTGAAAAATAACATTAAGTATTAATAAGAAAAATTAATAGTATTAATAAGAAAAATCCTTATCCTACCCATCTCCCCTCTCTGATGCCTAACCCCACCCTTAATCCTATCCAACTCCGCCCCCCAATACCTAATCCTACCCATCTCCACCCCCTGATTCCTAACCCCACCCCTAATCCTACCTATCTCCGCCCCTGATCACTAACCCCACCCCTAATCCTACTCATCTCTGCCCCCTGATCCCTAACCCTACCTCTCATCCTACCCAACTCCACCCCCTGATCCCTTACCCTACCCAACTCCGCCCCCTAATCCTACCCATCTCTACCCCGATCCCTAACCCCACCCCTAATCCTACCCATCTCTGCCCCCTGATGCCTAATCCCACCCCTAATCCTACCCATCTCCGCCCCTAATCCTACCCATCTCCACCCCCTGATCCCTAACCCCACCCCTAATCCTACCCATCTCCACCCCCTGATCCCTAACCCCACCCCAAATCCTACCCATCTCCGCCCCCTGATCCCTAACCCCACCCCTAATTTACTTTTTTTACTTTTGAGAAGTGAAGCCTATGTATTATTTTGAACTGTATAAGACAATGTCTCGTATTATTAGAGCAGGAGTGTATGTATTTCAGAGATTCTTCCCAGATGTCATCAGGGATATGGATACCCATGTCCTTCTCCCAGCTATCTTTATATTTGTTGGACGAGGGGGAAGACATTGTTTGTAGTTTGTTATATATAATAGAGATAAATTTATCTTTATATGGGTGTATAGTGTAACATTCATCTAGAATAGATTGTGGTTGTGTCTCGAAACCTGGCATGAGTTTTCGGATATAATCTCTGACTTGTAGGTATCTAAAGAAATTATTGCTATTTAGTTTAAACTTTGTCTGCAATTGTGCAAAGGAAGCAAATTTACCTTCAGTATATAGATCACGAATACAACATAATCCTAGTTTTCTCCATTCAGAAAATGTCAGATCTAAGTTGGAAGGGGCAAAGGATGGATTTTTTGCAATTGGTAAAGAAAGAGGCAATGTCTTATGGGCAAAATGTGACTTGATTTGCTTCCATATACGAAATAGATTATGTATGATTGGGTTTTGAACGTCCTTTGATTTGTCAAGCGCCATTGGTGAGAGAATTAGGGCTGTAGGTAAATGTGGGCCACAATCTTCCATTTTAATAGCTAACCAAGTGGGGAGTGTATTATAAGTGGTGTTGAAGGAGTTTATACTTTTAAAAGCGCATGCCCAGTAATACATCATGAAATTTGGGAGGGATAGACCTCCGTTCATCCTACCCATCTCTACCCCGATCCCTAACCCCACCCCTAATCCTACCCATCTCTGCCCCCTGATGCCTAACCCCACCCCTAATCCTACCCATCTCCGCCCCCTGATCCTAACCCCACCCCTTATCCTACCTATCTCCACCCCTTAGATCTGGATCCGACTCCGCCCCCTGGATCTGGTGTGCTGCAGTGAGGTGCTACTGTGTGTTTCTGTGGTTTGATCAGGCTGATTGTGTCAGTGCTGTTTCTGTCCTGGTAAATCCTGCTGATCCGGGTCCAGTTGTGGCCGGTGAACTGAGTGGATTAACCACAGACATTTGATTATTCCTGGAACACAGACGCCCTGTTTCCGAAGGCTTGTTTGCTTTGAACTGACGGATGATTTACTGTGTTTTGAGATGTAAATCTGCTGTTATTGAAGTGCCAGTCTATTCTGGTGTGTATTAATGAGCACTTTCAGCATATGCAGCACCTTAACTAGTGGCCCAACTAATCCTGATCAGATTAACTGGAGCACATGCTGTGATCTGACGGAGGAGAGGAGCAGTGTTTGGTCACGTGACTCTCCTGTGGGCTGACGCACCTTTATTGTGGTCAGGGTGTGTCTGAGTTTATAGAGTTCACATGAAACACTGATATAAGAGACATAGATGATTGAATATTTACTAAACTCCTTTTTAGCTCGACTCAGAAACCGCATCGGTGAACTGGAGGAATCTGAGGAACAATCTCTGACGCAAACCAGAGTGTGTTTCTGTGTTTTGCATTGTTTAAAATAAACACAAGTGGATTTGCATGAGCCCACAGCCACTGTGTTTAGTGCATGAATTATATGGTTTGATGTGTGTACATGTAGACATAAACTAGAGCTGCGCCATTCTGGATAAATTCAGAAGCAAGATCTTTTAGTTTTAATACAAGATCATGATTCTCCCACTGAACAAACAAACAAACAAAATAATTAATGTTTTGCCGTAACTTACAGTAGCACCTCATTGCAGTACAAAATCCAGGGGGTGGAGTTGGATCCAGATCTAAGGGGTGGGGTTAGGGTTCAGGGGGCGGAGATATGTAAACACTCCCCTTGGAGTGAATGCTGTGTCGAAATTCAATGCTTGATCAACTAGGCAATCCGGATGGGAATTCACCCTCTGTTCAGACCACGCCCCCTACAGTGGCTCCACCCCATGAAGGATGCTAACTCGCAGATCACCCGTTGGTATCTAGCCTTAAGTTTAAGGTGGTCCACAGACCGGGGCCGGGGGCGCAGATGGCTGCAGAAATGGGTGGCTCCCCGGCCTGCAGTCGGGCGGTGGGGTCATGTGGCGAGGCGGGCCGGTTCAGCGAGGTCTGCAACGGGAGAGAGAGCGCCTGAGGACGAGTGATGTGTGTAAGTAGGTAAAGTGCATAATGACAAACCCCTGTGTGTCGTTGCAGTAACTGGCCCGGAGAGATCGGTGGCTGGGAGAGAGGATT